TTTAAGTTTTTAAAAAACTGGAATACAGACATGTCCAAATATATTATTCATATTCATATTCTTTTTGAGTGAAGGAGAATTGAGATATCTATATATTCCTTTGGACAGTATTTGAGATATTGGTGTTCTTTGAAAGAAAACACACTTAAATAATCTAGACCAGTCTCCATGACTTGGCATACGACTTTGTCAAGGTCCATTGTTAACCCCTCCAAAACCAACCTTTTGAAGGCATTGATGAAGTCCTTTTACTTCTCACCACGAATAGTCAATAATAAAACTCTACCTTATCTCACATATAATCATTTTAATTTTTTTAATTCTCATTTAAATTTCTACACTCAATAAAAATAATATTGTCTCACTTATTATAAATATAATTTTTATCTCTTATTTTGGATATCATATACGTAACTTATTGTGTGGATTAATTCCTTTGTCAACACAAGCAAAATAATGCTTTATAATAATTGTATTCTTAAGATCGATTTTGATTAGTGTCAAAATAATTTTAGTCAGCAAAAATTAAGTCGGATAATTATATATTAATTATTAATTATCGGACGAAGGACGCTATTTGAACCATTCACGTAATAAAATAATGCAAAGTTATAAAAAAAAAATTGAATTCGAAGCCTTAGAGACTCACAAGTTTCGCATATCAAAAAAACCAGTCAGCTTTGACCTCTTCGCAGTTGAAAGAAGGAGGAAAATGGTTATTTGACCCATGCATTTCTTTGATATATACTCTCTCTCTATATATATATCGATCTCTGATACATACCCATTTCAGAAATTTAATTTTAATTCAAATTTATCGCTGCATACGAAAAATATTCAGAATAACTCTTACTCTAGCGAGTGACTCATAAAAATTTGTGTCCCTTGTCCCTTGATTTGGTCCTTAATTACTCTACTCCAAAGAGCTTCTTAATGGTTATAACTCAAAAATTGGTCAAAAATTGGCTTAAAAGGTTGAAAATAATAAACAACTAAAAATAACCGATAGAAATTGTAAATCAGAGCTTCACAATAAAAGCGGTAAAGGAAAGTTAGTAAAGGAAGCTTAAAAGTTAGAATTTTTTTTTTTTGATCGATTTGGTTGTTGACCTCTTTTACATCATTAAATCTCATTTGTATATTAGCTCATAAAATTTCATTTTTATATTAGTTCATAACTTGAGTTGTATATAAGAAAATTGCATAATATATTTTTTATATTTATTTATAGAAATTTTTACTCTTCTATTTGTTAATTGTCATTGACTTACTATAACAGATCAAAATCATGATGGTTGTGTTAGTTTCTCATAATAGGTTCTTATAGTCGGAGTCACCTCTTCTCAAATAGTTATAACTAATACTTAACCGTCAATCATATAAAATTTGTCACGGTCAATAGTCTTTACTACTATTAAATAGTTGTCAATTGTGTGAGTTATATTTCAGTTAACAATTGCACATAGACTATTACTTCTTTGAGTCGTGAACAACTAATATTGTGTAATATGTGTGTATACATGTGTATATATATATATATGTATATGTATGTGTGTATATATATATATATATGCATATATATATATGTATATATATATATATATAGAGAGAGAGAGAGAGAGAGAGAGATGTAATTTATCCAAAACATTATCACTTAAACATTGACCAATTCGTTTTATTATCACATGATCATTTTAGATTGTACTCGTATATTCTTTATAGAAAAATGTTTATACTAAAAGGGGAAAATGGGGATGGTTATAGTCCTTGTTGAGATGTTCTACATGAATAATTCAACCTTTTTTTCTATAAAAAGAAAAAAAAAACGCTTGAATAATTCAACCTTTTTTTCGATAAAAAAGAAGAAAAAATGGCTATTGATTTTTGTTTATTTATTTTGATATATACAAGAATGAATTGTATGATGTAAAAGGATATAAGGAAGTTTTGATAGAGAGAAACAACACCTGATTAACATCTCATATGATAGACATATGACAATTCACCCATTCA